GCCCTTTCCCTTTTTTTTTGGGGGGGGCCCCCCGTTTTTTCCTCTTTTTTTTTTTTTTCCCACCCTTTGGGAATATGGGGGTTTTTGGGTTTTTTTGGGGGGGGGTGTTTTTTTTGGGGGGGGGGGGGGGGGGGGGTTTTGGGGGGGGGCGGGGGGGGGGGGGGGGGGGGGGGGTACAGGGGTCGCGGATGAGCGAGCAGCAGAACAGCACATCCAGCGGGAACCTCAGCACTCGGAGCGATTCGCGTATCGTTCGCAGGTCCAGCGATCGATCGTAGAGAGCTGCAGCTGCGGCTAGCCGCTGCCATAAGCGACGAGTTTTCGTTTTCCCCCCCCAGGGCCAAAGAGAAATCGCCGAACGCAGCGAAGAGGTTGTAGAGCCTACTGGGTGTCCGAGGGACAGCAAAGCCGCCCTGGGGTGTGTGGCACACTACAGCGCATCACGAACGGGAGAGAGGTCGTATGTACCCCAGGCGTGCTTCGCTTTTCTCCGACATGCGCTGCCGCCGCCGCCGCTGACAACGCGGGGGGAGGTATGGGGCACTTGAGGACCGGACCGGAGTAGAACGTGGTGGGAGTCCCAATCGGGGCAACGATACACCGTGTGTCTCGCGCATGTATTTGGTTTAGGGATGTGCAGGGATGGCAAAAGAGGGAGCGTAGCCATCGGCGGGCAATTAGGCGCCCTGGTTGGAAGGTGCGCGTGAGAGACAGGCGCGTGTATTGCTTGCGTGATGATCACAGCAAGTGACGAAAGTGAGCAGGCGAAGCCGTAATCGAGGGTGTGACTCTTTGTTGCCCGCCTATTTTTGCTGCGTGTAGTCGGTATCCACCTGGACACGCACTGTAATAAACGCTAAACGATTGGCTGAAGGAGTATGTTCCCCCACCGTTGACGCCACGGCGTTGGGTTTGCGTTAGGGTTTGATTTGAGAGACGGCGTGGCGACGAATAGGGGAACCGCTGACGGTGAATGGGCCGCGGGGGACTAGGAGAAGGGAATTATATTTGGGCGGTATATGGAGGTACTTGGCGGGATGACAGTACTTGTTGTGACACTGATAAGGGCTCTGCAGAGATTTTTTGCGTGTCCGGGGCAAGTTTTCACGGTCGAGGGCGAAGAAAACGCCCATTGCTGCCGGGGAGGTTTTGATGTGTGAAGCGGATAGACAATAGGAGCGATCAAGAAGAAGAGGGGGGGGGGGGGGGGATCTCCGTTGTCCTTGGGGCAGAGAGAGGGAAAAAGGCTGACTCCCTAGGAGGAGGCGTTAGATGGGGCCATTACTGAGTGCAGCCGACAGGCAGCGGTACAACGAAGCTCAAAAAAAGCTGTTATTTTCTCCGATGGTGTGGTCTGCGAGTCACCAAGTAACTTTCGACCGGAAAGGGCTGGAGTTGGATGGACAATGTAAGTGTTGATATTATTTTTTTGTGAATAGCAAAAAAACAGTCTCCAAGTAGATGCGCAAGCCCAGTCCTTGTTAATGTTCGGCTGGAAAGCTATTGTATCTATGTATCAGCTTTTGCAAGCCTTGTTGTGTACGTTGGGGCAAGAACCTCGGGAGTTGCATGCAGGGGCGAACAAGTGATGCGTTCATTGGGTGCGTCCATTGTGCACTTGGCTAAGTCGGAAGCGATGTGTGACAGCTCCAGAAATTTTGAGTGGTGAAATGCGAGGGAAGGAGAGAAGTGGGGGTAGATTCCAGTGTGTGTGCGAAGCAGGTGTGATCTAAGGAAAATGGTCTCAAGACTACAGAACGTTCGTGAACGAGCATTCTACATTGATAAATTGGACAGAAGATGCTTTTCATAGCAGCACAATGTGCATTCCACGACATGGCAGCAAACAGTCGCGCCCGCTCTCTGCACGCGCTCGGCAATGGCGGTGCATTGCGAGTTAAGGGGCGCGCGCTTGCTCCTCTTAGATGCACGACGGCGCGTTTCAACATCGCCTTTCACCCTAGCCCGTAAAACGGCGACAACCTGCGGGCAGAAAAAGCTACTGGAGCGAAATACGAAGACGCAAAATAGCACCAAGTTTCTCAATCTGGGTTTGCGCCACTTCAAGGTGAATTTGTCTTCGAAAGCGACACAGCCGTCCCCAACTGTGGGTCCTTGGACGACAAGCCGCCAGACCCCGCGTCGGAGGCTCACGCAAAGAGGAGGGGGCAAATACATGAGCGCTATATTATACTGCTTGGCCCGCATCGTTGTCGCCGCCGACGCTGGCCACAGGCTTCGCGTCCGTAGCGGGCCTCTCGTCGGGAACAACGAGCACGCTGGTAGCAGCGACTGCCGGCACCGACCTTGTCGCCCTGTCGTAACACCGCGCGCACCACCACACCGGAGGGGCTACGAGAAGGAGCAGGTCCAGGACGAGAAACAGAACCCCCCACGCAAAGGTGCCGGAGCTGCAGGTTACCTTGCCGTCGTCCTCGCCCTGCCCACTGCCGGCCTCGACCGAGTCCACCCGGGCGAGCGACACCAGCAGCCCCGCCACCAGCCCGAGGTGCAGCAGGAAGGCCAAGAAGAGGGTCGGGAACAGCCAAGTCCCGGCCAGGGCGCTGAACCGGCGCCGGTTGATCCGGAAGCAGCCCCCGCCGAAGACGGCGCACATGAGCACGAGCCCGTCCAGCACGAGCACCGTCCCCACGGGCTGCTCGCAAGAGCCGGGCGCGCCGATGCGCCTGCCCCCGACCACCGCCTTGAACAGCGGGGGCACCGCCATCAGGGCGACGGTAAGGTGTGCGCGGATGCGGTCCGGCAGGGAGGGCTCTTCCTCCCTGTTCCCTCCACGCGAGGCCGGGTTGAGGTCGTGGTCGTCTTCGTTCGCCTCGAGATCGTCCCCTTCCAAGTCCGGGGGGTGCGCCTCCTCCGCCGAGAGCTTCTGGAGCATCGTGGGTCGCCAGAGCCCCGGCAGGGGAGGGATGCGCGTCCGGTACCTGCGGAACATCGCGACGAGACCGTCGGGGAGCTCGCGCGCGCCGCCGCTGATATCTCGCACGAGAGCCTGGGCGGGGGCGGAGGTGTCGATGTGGAGGACGAGGGAGTAAAAGAACCCCCGGATGTTGACCACGTCCTCGTGCAGCGCGGCCTGCTGCCCCACGTACAGCTTTGCAAGGAGCTCCAGCAGGATCTGCTTGGTTGGGCAGTGCATGCGGTTTCGTCGTGATTCGTTGTTCATTATCCCGAGGACGAGGAAACACCGAAAGACGGAGGACTCGAGAGGAAAGGCGAAGGGCTCGAGGGGAAGTGAGGCCTGTCGTATCATAACCACAGTATTTGCCCCACACCTCCGCCCAGTGAGAGAGGTCTGGAAGAATTAATTGCTGGCGGGCGGACTGTTCCGTGGAAATCGGTCGTGTGCTGCATTTCGAAGGTGGATGGTGTGGTGTTTGAATGTTGTAATGTACCAGGTACACGACGTCGTTGTGATTTGGTCGGTGTACCATCATCATGCAGCTGTGTGGCGCGCTCATGTAGCAGTGTGCCGCACGATGGTGGTATATCTTTCGTGCGATGGCTTCAGCAATCGCCTCCTCGACGCACCACAGCTCTACCAAAGGCGTATCTGGTAATTCTGAGTGTGGGTACAGAAAAGATTCCAATCTTCGGCTTTCCGACGACACCCTTTCCCTCCAGTCACGGCATCCTCCACGCACTCTCCAAATCCCCACCTCTGGTGGTCCGACGCTCGCTCGTAAACAACGGACGGCCACGACAGCGGGCGAGAGCTGCAGCACGAAGAGTCGAAGTCTTCGACACAAGCCGAACCCAGCCTCCGAATGCCCCGCGTCGTGCCCCAGTTGCACCTTCCGGGGAGGCACATTTGTTGCAAAAAATCATCAGCATCGGTCGTTTCTCAAGCGACGTTGTCTCTAACGAGACTAGTTCGAAACGGTGAGTTACCATATGGCCCTCGTATTCAACAACGTGACGTGTAAGCCCCGGTGTTTCGCACCAAAACCCGCCAGATTCCCCCTCCGTTTGAGTCGCTTCCACTTACCAAACCTATCAGCAAGCGGCAGGCGTCCTCAAGAAAGTTCGGGTCTGCCAGCACCCATACAGCGGCCTCTGCTGCCCGGGATCGCAGGAGCAGAATCTTGGCCTTCGCGGCGTCCTCGATATTACGGGGTGCTCGAAGAGCGGCCATCGACAGCTCCTGCAGCAACGTTGGTAGAATGCGCTGAATGTCAGCGTTGGATTACTCACGGAATGGATGAGTTAGGGAAATGAGAAGGAAGGAAGGAGGGGAATTTCGTTGCTGCTGATGCTGCTGACGAGATTGTTGTTGTTGCTGTTGTTGTTGTTGTTGTTGTTGTTGTTGTTGTCGTCGCGGTGTAGTTCGCTTGGAATACGCTAGACTTTTCGACTACCAAGTGGATTCCGCCCTGACTGGAAATCAGAGTATGACACCCTGGACGACCATGTCGTGCACGAAAAAGTCTGTGCCCGCATTGTTCATTCTTCGTCGCTTCGAATATCGGCACATCTTTCTTCGCCACCACCCGCATCCCCGCCACCCCGCCATGGTTTTTTGCCGCTTCCCGGCTACCAAACAGAACTCGGTGAGTTTTCTACCTCCCCGCCTTTCTCCAGCTGTGATCGTCACTGGAATCTCTATTTGGGCGGCCATCAAGATAAGTGCTGCGCTTCCGCCGCCCCACCTATTCCACGCCTCGCCCCGCTCTTCGCCTCCGTAGGAAAGCAAACGACAGTAGCAGACAACGGTGTAGCTAGTGGCCTGATGTTTTTCACCTTGAGCGCATTCACTCGGGCCGACAGCAAGCCCTGTTCATCCTGTAGGATCCGCACCAGCTTTCCCTCGGCACTCTCCGGATCTTTCGGCCACGACACCTGTGTGCAAGATAGGGGCATCGCGGCGTGGGGAAGTACATATCTCGCCCCAGATTCGCCCTCGACGTTTGGCACAGAAGCACAGGAAATGGCGAGAGGTGGTTCTGCGTTTCTCGTTTCGATCATTGTTTCCAGCTTTGCGATCAACAGTAGCACGCACACCCTCAACAACACTACCACAGACACAGTGACAACACCGGCAACACGGAGAAAACAATCCTCATGTCGCCGACGGCAATAGCTCCCTCCAGGCATTCCTACACGGAGCGACAACCATCACCTGAATGGCCAGCGCTAGAATTGTCGGGGGGGGCACGGCACCCATGCCGCCGCGGCCGCGATGGCCACCACGCTTCGTTCGAGCAGGTTTCAATTTAGGGATTACTACTTCGGTAGCAGTGCGGTCGCCACTGTCACCCGCGCCTCGGATGGGGTCCTTGACGGCTTCGTGCTCGACCCGATGTGGGGGCGCCACCTTCAGGGCGTCACTGGTCAAGCAAACCTCGCCTACCGTCGTCGCGGTATAACGTGAGCACGGGGCAGAAGAACAACGTCCGTGTGTGCACGGTTTGGGTTTCCGTTGTGATTGTTGGGTACGATACTGTGGTTCGACTTGTTTTAGCTAGTCGCTGTCACAATCGTTGTTGTCGCCGTCGTTGTCGTTGTCGTTGTCGTCGCTTTAGTTTTGAAATATCTACTCGGGGGAATGTTTTATTAGAGCCCTCACGTTGGGGGGAGCAGGCCATCTGCCAAATAGTAACACACATGCGCTTGAATCGTCATGGAAACGAGCACCACTCTATCTCCCAATACGTGCGGGAACTCATTTGCTCATGTTAAGCGTACTGCGAAACGGAGCCGAAACCACGACAAAGAGAGCGAGGTGCAGACGCTTCCCGCTCCGAAGTACACGATCTCCCGATGGCGGCTCGTTCCTCGGCGCGCCACCCGCTTTTCTTATCTTTCCAGTGCAGTCCACTACTGCTACAGATATGGAAGCGCGGAACAGAACGGTGATGCGCGTACCGAGGTAATCCCCTTGCCCGTGCAGATCGTGGTCCCACATCTCAAACCGAATGCCGTCGCCGTCGGCGTTTAAACCCGGAGCGTTCGCGTCTCCTCCGCCGGGCGTTTCCGGCGACAAAAAGAACGTTTCGTCCCAGACAGGCGACAGGGTCATTGGGATGACCTTCGTACGGTGAACTTCGGCGTTCCCAACAAACACCTGGCAAACAAGAGAACCGGGAGAGAGAAACAAAAACATGAACTTAACGAAACCCCATCCCTCGAAACCTTCAAGTCGGCCAATGATGAGGGAACAGCGGGAAATGGTTTGCCCCGCAACGGCACGCTGCCGTCGACATCGCATCACCATCCTCGACCTCCCCTCTCCGCTCGCAGCGAGTGCGAAGAAAAGAAAAAGCCCCAACAACTGCGTGCTTACTTTAACACAAGGATCGGAAGTTCCCAGGGTATCGGCCGCTCGGACATTACGCGCAGATTCCACACGAACCAACACCTGTAGCAGGGTGCCCAACACGACGGGGAAAGGTTGGTGAAGTATTTTCTTCGTTGGTGTGGCAAGGAAAGGTCGTAGAGAAGACAGACTAGTCAACTGCTTCTTCACGTGCGACAAGGGAATGCTACGAGTTGATGGTGACATGTGTTGCCACCGTCTTAGGTCGGGACGACCTCGCACGATTGGTCTACACGTGCATCATCACAAACAACATGAGCACATCATCTGTAGATATGGTTGGCATAATAGCACGGTCGCTTTCTGGATATATCCTACCGCTCCGCCCAGACCAACACCTGAAGCAGGGTGCCCAACACGACGGGGAAAGGTTGGTGAAGTGTTTTCTACGTTGGTGTGGCAAGGAAAGGTCGTAGAGAAGACAGACTAGTCAACTGCTTCTTCACGTGCGACAAGGGAATGCTACGAGTTGATGGTGACATGTTGCCACCGTCTTAGTCAGGACGACCTCGCACGATTGGTCTACACGTGCATCATCACAAGCAACATGAGCACATCATCTGTAGATATGGTTGGCATAACAACACGCCCGCCCTCGCCACATCGGGTGAAACTTCGTGTCTCTATACGAAAAAAAGAAAAACAGAGACGAAAAGAGCACACACAACACTGCTCACGTGATCTTTACTTTTCGACGAGCCTTTGCCGCACGCATCCCGTTGACAAAGATCGTATCACGACCGTACATGCTGTCACCTTACCTTTGAAGGCATCGGTCTTGGTTCGTCCATCAAGTCGACGGCGGCGGAAATCGCCCGCTCCGCCGGTGTGGGCCCTCCGTGAAAGAGTTCGACCGCGTCCACGTAGATGTTGCTTTCCCTGCCCTCTCCTCCGCTCTGGATAGCGACACGCAGGTGCTCGCTGCGGAAAGGGACTATCTGGCATTCTAGCGCCTGGAGGTTTTTAGTTGTAGTCAGGTTGAGTTGGTTTTCCCCCCATCAATGAGGGTAGGGAGGCGGGCCGAGGAGGGGCTCTGTGAGAACAGTGATACCGACTTCCGCCAAGGAACGGAAGGTGGCAGGAACCTGGGGCAAGAGTAATCATCATTCAATCTAGGTTGAACCACAAGACTGTACCCACGCATAGTTGCTCAAGCCTGACACTTCCTTGCATGATGCTACCCATGACACAGCGGGTAGGATTGTTCGGGCACGGTCCGTGCTGCCACTGGATACTCGGCTTGTGCAGACGAAGCTACGTCCCGTTCTGCCAGGTGCTCCTACCATCCCCACTCCCCCTGATGGGACTCTCTCAACACCGCCCTCCTTAACTACGGTCCCGTTGACCCTCACCCCCCTTCGGGCCACGCCCAAACTTCGCTCGTGGTTGGCTGCCCCACCTACCTACCTCCCACTCCCCGGTCTTCACCGCCGGTGCCGACATCTCTTTCCCATCCCGCATGTCCCACAGCACCAGCCTCGTCGTGACGTTACTCTTCGACCCCTTTCTCCCTGCGGTCCAGCCCGTCATCATGGCCAACCTCGAACCCTTTCTCCCGGCACCCTCGGCCTCTGCTCCGGCCCCGTCCCCGACCCCGCCTCCCTCCTCTTCGTGGAAAACCTTCGCCTTGACCACGTACAGCCACCCTTCCTTCACGGGCGTGTCCACGTACGCCCCACCCGCGAGTCCGGCAGGCACGACAAGGCAGAGGCTGCGAAGACCAGTGAAGCAGCGAGTGGGCGACGGGGAACACCTGTGTGGTGCCGACGGTGGGGCATGCATGACGTGTTGTGGAATCATAGCAGACTGCAGCTGTGGCCGTCTCAGGGGCGTGGGTGGTCACGCAGGAACTCATCAGAGAGTTGAATAGAAAAAAATCGATTGAGGGGAAAGGGAAGAAACGTTAGGCGCATGGTTTGAGTGACTTCCAATAAGCAGACTGAGGCCTCTCAGGTGACGCATCACGTGTTCCAGTTCCCATCACTAACGCCAGCCACGTAGCACTCCACAACAGCAACATAGGCAAACATATGGTCTGCCCCCCAGCCCCACTCGGACCTGATATCATCTAAGGCGGTAGAGCCACCCCCGGCACCAGCGCCACCCCCGCCAGCTGCCCCAACGTTCTCCGGCCCCAGCCCTTCAAACGCGGCCCACTTGATGTCGTCCTCCCCACCCTCGAAAAACCAGGCCTTTTCGTACTCCGCCTCTGGCAGTTGGACCGGGTCGGAGACAATGGAAGAGCCGGGAACGAGCATCCTTTCCGCCGAGATCGAGGCGACGAGGAACTGGTACGCCTTCCCCGGCTTGAGCCCGACGATGACGGCCTCGGCCTCGTGAGAGGGGGCTTCGCCATAGGTCACCTTGACGTTGGATTTCAGTGTTTATGGTTGGTGATGATGGTTTCGTTGGTGGTGGTTGTAGGCGATGTTTTCATTGTTCGTCGGTATGAGGGCGAAAACTGCGCCGGTCTTCATATGTGTCGAAGCAGGGCGTGCATGGCACGGTACGTCGCTGGGTAAATGGTCGGGCCGCGGCTTAAGGAGGCAATATCCACCACCACGCCGCACCCTCACAACTATCGCCGCTTATCACCGATGGCGCAATATGGATCGACTCTTGCTCTATTCCTGTTGGTATCGCTTCAGATATTCTGGTGGAACGAAAAAGTCGAAAGCAAGGAAACCCGTCGTCGCTCGGGCTATTCCACTCAGGGCGCGCGCACCTCGAAACCGCTTCCAACCTCCGCCGTGCACACACGGTAGGCGTATACTGGGTACTTCTTGTTCGAAACCTTTGGCCACGTGACTCTGACGCTGGTGGTCGAAATGTCGTGACAGGACACTCCGCCGGTCGGAAACGCGGGCGTCATTGCCCTGCCGTCCTTCAACACAGCGGTAGTGGACGAGCATCCGCCGCTTTCCTGTGGAGGCGCTTTTTTGGGTTCGACAACCAGCGTTAGCAGAGAGAGAGCCACAAGAATACACCACGGTTATGCATGCATTCGACGCTGCCTTGCTTTAAACACAAAAATTCTGTTGTTCAAGCGCATCGTAATCACACCGTTGTCGAGTTCCGAGCAAGGGGCACCGCAACCAGCCCCCTGCTGCGCCTACATAGAACCCTGCGGGCGCCTTCATTTTCACGACGGGCGCATCCCGCTTTTATCTCACCTGCTGGAGAGCGCCAACAACTCGACAAGATGGAGAAGGGGGGCGTGCAAGAAACGATGCCTACAGCAAGAGTCACCAACGCTCAGTTCGGCTTCATTAGGTAGAAGGGTAGGACACGAAAACATGCCACAACACTCGTTCCCCCATCACCTTGAACCGCAACCGGTCCCTGTTCCACGAGTGACTTTTCATCCGACTTCGGCGGTCCCGCTCCCGTCGTTGGGTTGCTGCCCGCCAGCGCAACCGAGTCGGTAATGTTTTGGGAGTTGGTATCCTCGATACCTGCCTCGGAGCTTGCCTGGACGGCTGTCAGTCCGTCTCTCTTCTTAACAGCCGCAGCGATACCGTCGGTAGTAGTACCCGTCAAGACATCTACTGGTAGTTTGTGATGTCTATCATGCCCTCCATTGGAAGTAATTTCGTCTTCGTTGACGGGATTCGAGAGGCCGTAGGACGCTGGCGCGCCGCCAGTTGTTTCTTCTGATAGCTGACCTTCCTCCTCCCCAACCCCTCCAGTGTGCGTGATGTCTTCTCTGTTCAAAACAAGCCACAGTCGAAAGAACAACATGTCAGATTTTTGGTGGCACACGTCTTTCGACGTCAACATCCTCAATGCGATAAGCGGGAAACCCCGCTGTTGCTGTTGCCCTCACTGGTGTAATGGGATCGAGTACCGAAAGTCGTGGTGTGTGCATTAATCACACACTCCCACCGCCTGCGTCTACTACTTACCCGTGCTACAGTGCACGTGTATTCTTCTTCTGTAAACGGTGATTCCGAGATGACCGCGGGGATGATGGGCGACGTTCTCCGTCAGTTTTGCAGCTTACACCAAGACTACACAGACAGCAGTAGTTACGATTCCGCTATTTAGATGGTCTGTACAAATCCTTCTGCACCGTGACGATACACACGGCGACCATTGCCTTGGCTGTGGCAATCTGGCGAATGTGACATGTTACAGAGTTAGCTCCCGCACTTAAGAAGTTGAGCTTCGAACAACTCAAAAAGGATCTTGAGCACCAGTTTGAGCTCGGTCAAGCACCACTACACACACAATGTAAAAACAAGGTAGTTTTGTCTATAGACTATCGCGGCAATTCGTGGCATAACTCAGCCTCGGCCAAACGACAGTACATTTGCATCCGCCGCCACGCCTAAAATTGGTGCACGCAGCTGTACATCGATACATACATCAGGGTGTAGGAAACTTCTCACATATGCATAGATATATCTGTAGTCTAGTCGGGGAATCATTGTGCGGATCAAAAAGTTGTCTAAGATGTAGTCTATATGCTCGACGGTGGCGACGAAAGAAGAAACGAAAGAAACTAGTACTACAGTAAACCTCGGCCCAAGATCGACGCTCCTCAGCCGCGGGCCCGGTCTTGACGTCTTTCCAAAGCCCTCTGGTAGTAGACTATGTACAGCAGTATATCGTGCAGCATCTCGGTTATCTACATTAACCTTTGAGATTTTCACATCGTGCTCTCACACACAGCTGAAGTGTATAATTTGACTTTCTTTCCTATGCATAATGCATACCGATAGATCGTAAAGTACCAACACAAGAGTACCGCCCGTGTGCTACTTTACACTTTCCTACGGCAGCGACAGCGGCTGTCCTATTCGACGACGACAGCGTGCTACTTTTTATGAGGTACGGCACCGGCAGTCCCCAGACGCTCGTGTTTTTTCTGGCAGACTGCATCCCAAAAAATACAGCAGGTATACAGTAGATGTACTGCAGTGTGTTGTCCTGCAAAGGTCGAGCCCGGGCGCCCATACCTCATCTGGAATCATCCTTGGTTTCGCATGTTTCGGCCACCATTACCAAGTGCAGCAGCAGGGATCCAGAAGGAACCTGGAACATCTTTTTTTTTTTTGAACGCGCGTCTCGGGCGTTTTTTTTTTGCGGCGGCGAAAGTGAGGGACTGTTCGCGCTCATCCAATCAGAAGCGATGGTCATCCCAGTGGCTCGTGGGCCGTGGATCGTCATTACGGAAGGTAGTAGATCGTGGGTGGTGGGAGTCGAGGTGACCTCACGACTTACGGTTCAGTCGAAAATCGATTATGTACATCTGGTGGTTGTGGGTTGTGGATCCGCAGATATTTTTAGAATCATATCGGAGAGTTCCCAGCATTTTCTCACAGCCCACGGCAATCCACACACACTCACCTACCATGGCAATCCACATAAAAGGCCTGCTGTAGTCCGTTCGCACTCTGTGCCCCCCCGCCGCCTGTGTCCACCACCTACACATGCACATATCCTGTGAACTTATTTCTTAGGAGCGCGGTGGCCTTCATTCTCAGGTTCCTGTGCGGTGGACCGCTGGCTGCTGAATGCGCGTAGTACGCCGGGGCTGACAAGGAACACACTGCCGCCCCGCAGCGAGCCACCCCGCTCTGCCCTGGCGATTGGCGTTCCCACCGGTAAGTAATACAAGTGCAAACCACACGGCCGGACCCACACAAACATTTTGAGAGTGAGAGAGTTGACAGCAGGGTGGCTGCCACACAGCGGCGTGCGGCATTGGTTGGAGTATATGTTTGCTCGTCTGTTCGTGCATTTAGACGTTGGCCGGCTGAAAGGCAGTGTACCTTCATGCTGTGTCATGCGACAGCAGTGAAGTGAGGAAACAGGAAGGGAGCTCCGTTGTTGTTCGGAAAAATTACTTTCCAATGAACTGAACGACTACATACAGCAGTCCACCTTTCAAGCTTTTGAGATATGAAAATACCCCGGATAGGATACCCCGAAGGGCCGTGTTGAAAGTCTCTAGACTATGCACATTATAAGCAGTAATGGCTGACACAGCTGAGTGCTGGGTCATTTTGCCTTTGTTTTGAGTACGTTTAAGCCCATACACTCAAGGACCAGTGATGATGCCATCTGGCATTTTTGTAGTACCCTAACGGGTAACGACACTACAGACTAGGGTTAAAGTGTGGTTGTTGGCATGCATGCATAGAGTGTATGCTCTTTATTGAGGATAGGATGTGGGATAGTCAGGAGGTATACTTCCATTCCCAAGCACCGCGTGCCCCCTGAGATGGAGTTGGATCCCCGCTTCATCTCAGACCTTCTCTCAGAAATAGCAATAAACGTTTTTCCCATTTCTACACGATCGTGGAGCAAGAGGGGCGTCAAGCGACATTTACCTTTTCCTGTCCGTAGGATCAAGCTACCATCTACGGCTTGTGCTCCTCATATTATTACGCGTCAGCGGCAGGAGGTTCACGGAGTGTGTTGCACACGAATCATGTAAATTAGACTAATAATCAACACAGACTAGACGCAAGTGGGGACAACACCTCCGGCCCGCTCGTAAGAAACACCTTAGCTATCTACAAGTTTGGGCGAGTTTCAGCACCAACCACCTTTTTTTGCCGCAGCGATGTGAGCAATTATACTTAATAATAGTGTCACCATTTCGTATGTTTGAAAGGGACAGTCTACATGGCATATTTATTTCTTAATTCCTGTCTTCTTTGCTGTCAGAACTAATATGCAATACAGGGGCGGCGGACGCGGGGGGCTACCGCCCCCCCGTCCTCTTCCGTTTGAGAGTGGATGTGCATACGAAACGGGAAATAAATGTGACGTAGCATTTTCAGCCTTCAAACGCAGTACCAAGTGGGACGGTGGTTCGTTGAGGTGGTGGTGTACAGCAGAAAACAACGATATAACAATATTGTATATAGATGCAGGTTCGAAGACGGGAGAAGCGTGCGTCATCATGCGCGTATCCTCTTCCCCCCCTCTCTGAAACTGTAATTAATTCATTGCGTTGAAGCTGGGCGCACACTGTATGTGTGTGAACCTGTTGGTGCCTTCATTATCGGCATCGACCGCCCTAGCTGGTGACCAATGACAAGAGATGTCAGTCCCAGTGCGGTTGAAAACACAAAAAAATCCTAGTTGCCATGGACTGGGACCCCGTGAGGGGACGGCACGGGGGAGGCTAAACTATTATCCGGATTAAAGACAGGAACGGCAACGGTAGCAACAGAAGAAAACTGCAAAAGTCTACCAAGGCTGCTACCTTGCACTCGAGTTCGGTGTGGAGTGCTTTCACCATCATCTTGCTCTCTTCCGCTCCATGCTTCCCTCCTCCAATGCTGTTTTGGTCGTTCCGTTCTCCTCCCGTTCCCTCTCCTCTTCCATTTCCATCATTATTGCCTTTGTCTGCACTACTACTGAGCTTCCAACCTATTGGCCATGATGCAAATGGTCGATCATTAGTCCATGACGTTTGAAAACATCACGAGTTCGTACCGACAGAAACCGAGCCAGCTCGAAGGTAAACCGTTTCCGAATCCTGTTAATATGGTAACCCTTCAGGCGAAGCAAGGCTGTTTCATCGTCGAAATCCCCCCTGCAAAAGGCTTCGTACGCCAACTGGTTGGCGATAGCTATGCTACGATTAATCGATTTGTGCCTTGGCCAAGACCTCCATACGTTGAAAAAGCAGAAGTAAGGAGAGTTGATCTAGACGGGTTGAAAGTTCCCGCAAAGTGATTTGCCCTACGCACAGCTCGATCTTCGAGGGTGGATCCTGGTGTTTGGATCGACTTGTCCATGCTTCCACTTGCATATGGGTTGACGAATGTGACATTTACAAGAATGGACTCGGTGCAGATTTCCGCTCCTTTTTCTCCTGCGTGTATTCCTGGGAGGATCCTCAAATCCATCTTGTAGAGCCCCTTTCCCTTGCCAGTGCCTGTTGTAAATGGGGAAGAATCCTCAACGGTTTGTTTGTGTGCAAGTGTGGCTTACATATCATAGCTAGACTATAGCCGTGAGACTTAAGCAATAGCAGTAGTAAAAATATGCTTTGCGCGCACGCACACACCGGGATCGAGCAGTACGCAAGATGTGTTCTGAGAGCCAGTATTTTGGTCAGAACCCCGCAAGTTGCCGTCTTCTAGTGTTCGGAAGGGATGTCTGCCCCCTTGCCCGCACGCACATACATTCCGGTGTAGAGGTTCAGCGCTACAGCAATGATAACAGCTACCAGTCCAAAACACGCCATGGCTTAATTTTTATGCACCCTCGCTTGAGTGCAGCATCAAAGGTGGGCACATGATGAGGATGTGTATATATGTATTTGCTTGCAGGACACAGCTAGATACCTGCTAGATACACGCTCCGCGACAAAACATCAACTTCCAGTTCTCGAACACACGGAAAGAGAGAGATACAACACTTAGCTGAAGAAGGATCGTGTCGACCAATATCACACTTCACAGTCCTGCGGGAAGTGGTCAGAAGGGGCAGATGCAGGTGCGAACACGCCGTTTGCAGCGGTTTCGATGGCGCGGGCAGCTCGGCCGGCGCTCAGCGCCTGGAGCCGGCGGCGGGGTCTTGCGGAGGGAGCCGCGGGCTCCGCGAAGACGGAGGCCGAACGGCGGCGCCAGTCGCGATCGTCTCGATCTGAGAGTAGACCTGAATCCGCCACTTCGCTCTCAGACGCCGCTGTGAGGCCTGGGGACCGCACGTGAGCCTGAGCTGCTAACGCTTCTTACCTTTTATATAGAGTCAACAGATGATTGAGTATTAATTAGTTTTGGCCGACTCCGTTTTAACACGAATAATCTTGCATCGCCCAGTGCTGTTGCGTGTGTATGTCTACCGAGTGCTACATTAGAAGAACCTCTGCAAGAACGTCATCGCTCGGGAAGGTGGACTAAAAAGAGATTTTCCACTCCCCCCCCTCCCCCGCGCCCCCCCCGGTGTTTGCCATCGGGGTTTGGGTTTTCGTCGCTTGGCAACGACGTTGCAAAACAAGACCCCCACTCGGTGTTTGCCATCGGGATTGGGTTTTCGTCGCTTGGCAACGACGTTGTAAAAGAAGCCAATTCACTTCGTGAACTCGGCAACCAGGTTACCGTTTTTTCTTTTTTACCTCGTTTTTTTTTTTTTGCGGTAACCATAATGGTGGTCGAGTAGATCATGTTGTGCGGGGTCGAGAAACCTCACTCCGCGCAACGGGGGATGATCGCACCAAGTTGTGTTAAAATGGTCAAGCTTCCTCGAGGCAGTTACACAGTGCTTACAACTGTCTCTGGAAGTGAAAGCACCAGAAAATAAACTAAGTCATACGTAGCTGTCATCCGTACGCAAGTAAGTAAGCACAAGATGCCGAACACCCTTAGCAGGATGCAGCTCACCCTTCATGCGACTCGCCAAATACCTCACGGCGCTTCGCGCTTGGTGATGTGAGAGCCTGGTCCGGTGAAAACCCGGCGTGCTCCGTCCCGGCTTTGTAGGGATGCGAGGTCAATGGTCAAACGACTACGGCATGCACGACTATGAGTACACCCCCCCCCTCCCCCTCCCCGGTGTTTGTCATCGGGGTTGGGTTTCCGTCGCTTGGCAACGACGTTGTAAAACAAGCTGCCCCCCCCCGGTGTTTGCCATCGGGGTTGGGTTTTCTTCGCTTGGCAACAACGTTGTAATACAAGCCCCCCCCTCGGTGTTTGCCATCGGGATTGGGTTTTCGTCGCTTGGCAACGACGTTGTAAAACACGCCAATTCACTTCGTGAACTCGGCAACCAGGTTACCGTTTTTTTGTTTAACTCTGTTTTTTTTTTGCGGTAACCATAATGATGGTCGAGTAGATTACGTTGTGCGGGGTCGAGAAACCTCACTCCGCGCAACGGGGGATGATCGCACCAAGTTGTGTTAAAATGGTCAAGCATCCTCGAGGCAGTTACACAGTGCTTACAACTGTCTCTGGAAGTGAAAGCACCAGAAAATAAACTAAGTCATACGCAGCTGTCATCCGTACGCAAGTAAGTAAGCACAAGATGCCGAACACCCTTAGCAGGATGCAGCGCACCCTTCATGCGACTCGCCGAATACCTCACGGCGCTTCGCGCTTGGTGATGTGAGAGCCTGGTCCGGTGAGAACCCGGCGTGCCACGTCCCGGCTTTGTAGGGATGCGAGATCAATGGTCTAACGACTACGGCATGCACGACTATGGGTACACCCCCCCCCCCCTCCAAATTCAGTTATCGGCTGGGCCGGAACTACTACAGTACTGGAGGATTGTTGAATCAATCCTCATCTCTGTGAATGCTGCGAACGCTGGGATCCGCACCCTGACACTTTGCTGGTGTGCCACCGACTCGCCGTAGCCGTCGATCGGCTCGGTCAACGCCCACAATCCTACGGTTGCATGCCCCTTTTAGACTACTGCGCATCTGTTGGAGATAAACTCACGTATGCCACGCCACGCGGTAATCATAGAGGAGGCTGGCCGATCAGGCACGCCGAAGGTGTGCTCAAGAGTACGCGCAACGAGGCCCACTGAAGCCGGGGAAAATTCGGCCGAGAAAATTTGTAAGGCATTTGACCGGCATGAATTTCCACGCCAACGAAAACATGAATGCGCTATGCACATGTAATGTGTCTAATACCGCTGAGTTAGAAACACTGGTCAGAATATTGCAACATTAAATGCGATAACAAGTTCGAATTGGTGTCGTTTTACCAATATTCCCAAATATTTTACCCAAAGAGAGGCCATTCAAAAGCAATTTTGATGGGAAATGAAGCAAAAATGTGCATTTCTTTGGGCTCCCGCGGCGCCTCCAGCATCCCGCCCTCACCAGCCGGGGGGGGGATCGTGAAGCTAGCCGCCAGGCCTTCGAACGGCGGCTCCCTGTACTTCACGGGTCTTATTGCCTCACCGCGGTCTGTGCCTTTAGTCTTTGGTCTTATAGTTGTAGAAGATGCGGCGGATACGTGCCGGAGACGTTCCGGGACTTTCCGATGTTCTGTCGTGCGGTGACGTGGAGATTGCCATTCGAGGCCCGAAAGTGGCCCAAATATAGTGACGCTATTGTACGGGGATCCCCTCATCTTATATTTTGGGGAAAGGAGACACTTTCTACTTAACATTGGTTGCAACGATCGTTGATACTCCCCGTAGCGGTAAAGCGTGTATGTGGGAGGCAACGTAGAGGTTGACGTGCCCTAATGAGCGCTTCCTACACACCGCCGTAAGGTCGCCGGAACAGGACTAAACGATTGCTGCCAAAAACGCAAGATTTCACCCCAAAACAACACCCCCCGACCGTAGCATGACTTAAAAGTGGGTGCATTTCGTACAATCGTGGGTCAAGCATAGACAAAAGAGAGCGGTTGAAATGTCGGTGGGTGTAACGTTGACTTGCGGAGAAACAAATTAGGTAACGGAAGAACGAAAAGGCAGGGAACGACTGAAAACCAAAAGCTCTTGTATGTAGAGTGTAAACAATATGGACAAAGTTCCAAAACCCTGAAGTCGCTCGACTTGCAGAGTTGATGGCCTGAAGGCAACGACTTCGCCCCACTCCCACCAGCTGGGCATCTCGTACTAACACACCGCGGCAACCGACAACTCCGTACGATGTCCGATCGTTGCGTTTGCGTCAGGGTGCCGTGCCGAGATATTGTGGTGGTGACGTCGCCAGGAAGAAGTTGGGGGGCGTGAGAAAGCATGAGGCGACTCAGCAGCCCCACTATTGGCTTCACTGCTTCGGCCTTCACCATACTTTGTCTCCTTCGTAGTGGCATTGCCCAGTACGACAGCTGCACCGGCGGAAACGTCACCGACATCGGCAACGGTAACTGTGATGCAGCCCTCAACGTCGCTTCGTGCGGCTACGACGGGGGCGATTGCTGCTCGTGCACATGCAACGACGGCCCGCTGCACCTCTGCGCCGATAGCGACTTCGACTGCATGTACCCGGATTGTGGCGACCCAGCAGTCACCTCTTCGGATGCGGTCTGCTATGAGGATGTGCAAGGCGACGGGATGTGCAACGAGGAGAACAACAGCGCTGCGTGCGGATACGACGGGGGCGATGTGAGCGTGTCTTGGGTTTCTTTCGTTTCTCCTATGGAACTGGGTCGTGCATTGATGCGCACGAATCGATGATGTACACTACAACGCAAAATGATGTGACGTGTCCTCGGCGGCTGCTGAAAACCAATATTGAAACGCTTCCGGCTCCCTCATCGGTCCACCACCCTTGCGAGTAGCTTTCGAGCTAAAGTATGTCTTCTCCATTCTGGTCTGGTGCGACGAAATCTTTACCAACGCCTTCCCCCTTCTCCTCTTTCTTTTTGCCCACCCACCCTACGTTTGTTATCCACGTATTATACGGGTACCGCCCTCATCGACGACCCCCCCCCCTCCCTCTCTCACTCCTTTTGACACACACCCTCGCCCCACCCTCCCTCCTTGCTAGTGCTGCGAGTGCTCCTGCGTCGACGGACCGCTATTCGAATGTGGGAGCTTTTCGATCTTCGACTGTCGCGACCCGGCTTGCTATGACCCCGCTCTTGTCGCCGAGTTCCCCGATTGCACGGGGGACTGGTTCAAGATCGGCGATGGGGCGTGCAACCCTGAGAACAACATCGCTTCATGTGGCTACGACGGGGGCGATGTGAGCTTGTCATGAAGTGCTTGAATAGATCTTCATTTTTGAAGGTGGTGCTCTCCAACACACGAAACCGTGAAGTGCGTGATTAGATCTTCGTTTTTGAAGGTGGTGCTCTCCAACACACGAAACGCCAGAAAATGTTTCATCTTGCGGCGGCTGAAGGCGAACACGGTAGACCTTATCCGCTATGACCACATGGGGCAGCCTGCCCTGGTATGATAGATGCTCACTCTTCACAAGCAGCGGGCGAGCTATGAGGTACTCCCTCTCCAGCTAGGTCCGGTAAGATGCCGCTGTGGCTGACGAACCCTCCTTCCCTCCCTCCCGTTCCTCCCCGCCGTTCCCTCCCTCCGTCCATGCCCTCTTCGTATTGGCTCCTGTACTAACCACCAAGTGCTGTTTGTGTAGCTGCACCGGTTCTTCCTGCCAGGGTGGCGAGCTCGACTGCGTTGATCCTAGCGCTCCCGAAGAGTTGTACGAGTGCGAGGCTCCGCCGATCACCACCACGCCTTGCCCCGCTGACTCGGAGTGGAACTGGGTGGTGGGCGACTCTGAGCAGGCGCTGGCGCTGGCGTTAGCCGTCAACTGCTCCGGGGGGTCGTTTGAGGTGGAATGGGTAGGAACTGTTGTCGTCAACGAGACAATCTTCGTCACCGATGGGACGGTTCTAACGATAACCGGGGCTGCAGGCTCGAACGCCGCTTTGGATGGCAACTCCGTAACGAGGCTGTTTACCGTCGTCAACGCTGCCCTGCACGTGAGCGGAATCAACCTCAGCCACGGCGCTAGCATCTCCGGAGGGGCGATCGCCGCCGGGGGGTCCACCTTAACGTTCAATCAAACAAACTTCATCGGGAACGTCGCTTCGGGTAACGGCGGAGCCGTGTTCGTGTCGGACGGATCTCTTGTGTCGTGCGCTGATGGGACTACCTTCACCGAAAACGAGGCAGGAATCGACGGCGGCGCCATGTACGTGACGGGGGGTTCGGCGGTCTCATGCGGCGGTTGGTGGTTCAGCAACACGGCTGCCATCCGCGGTGGCGCGATGAGGGTGCAGCACGAATCGAGCGCGTCGTGGAGCGAGGGCGCCTTCTTCGCCGGTAACACCGCTGGAGCGTTTGGTGGTGCCCTGAGCCTAGTAAACTCCTCCAGCGTATCGTGGGACGCTTCCACAGACTTCTACTACAACAGCGCCGCGGTGGCCGGCGGCGCGTTGAGCGCCAGCACCACCTGCAGCTTGTCGTGGAGCGCCCAAACGGGGTTCTACTCGAACAGTGCTGGGCTCTGGGGGGGTGCCGTGTTCGTTCGCGATGATTCAAACGCTTCGTGGAGTGGGGAGACCACCACCGTGTTCGACGGAAATCAAGCAGGCGGGGAAGGAGGGGCCTTATCCGTATCCACGAACGCTACTGCCTGCTGTACCTGGGAGACGACCACCGTGTTGTCCGGAAACTCGGCTCCGGACGGGGGCGCCCTGGTGGTCGATTACGGGTCCATCGCGTCCTTTGGCGGTAACTTCTTGTTCGAGGGCAACGAAGCTTTCGGTGATCCAGAAATGTCAGCAAACCAAACCGGCCTTGGCGGCGCTATCCGCGTGTTTGAGGGGAGTGTCACGTGGGACGGGACCGTACGGTTCATCGCCAACACGGCCAATTTCGGAGGCGCCATGTGGATGGCGTTGTCTAGCGTTTCATGGAGCGGGGAGGCGATGCTGGCGGAAAACAACGCTTCTGATTCCGGCGGTGCTCTCTACGTGGCGTCGTGGTCCGATGTTTCATGGAGCGGTGCGGACGAAACCGTGTTCGACGGAAACCAAGCCGCTAGTTCGGGAGGAGCTGTGGCGATACTCGGGAGCACTCTATCTTGCGAAGGTGACACGACGAGCACTATTTCCGGCAATTCAGCTCCCGACGGTGGTGGTCTTTACGCTATCCTGTCTACCTTGTCGTTTGGCGGCAAATCGTACTTCGAGAATAACCATGCCATTGGTGACCCGGAATTCAACTTCACTGGAACTGGTGGGGCGGTCTACTTGTCTGGCTCCACTGCTTCGTGGGTTGGGGAGACGGAGGTTTTCAACAATTCGGCCGTAGTCTACGGGGGGGGCATCTTGTTGTTTAACTCGACGGCCTCCTGGGACGGAAACACCACGGTATCGTATAACCGGGCCGAAGACCCGGACAACGAATTCGACGTAGCCGGAGGCGGTGGCATGCGCTTGGTGGTTGGCTCCAATGCGGTTTGGGGCGGAGGAACGACACAGTTCATCGGCAACGACGCTGCGTACGGCAGTGCGATTAGCATGGATACATCCGTTGGGTCGTGGGGCGGACCCATGAGGTTCCTTGGGAATTCCGCTCGCCTCTTTGGTGGTGTGTACCTCGACGAGTCTGAAGTGTCTTGGACTGGAGAGACTGAGTTCATCAACAACACCGCGTTGAGCGGAGGCGCCATTTTCCTTCGGAACGGGTCTACTGCGAGCTGGACCGGTGGTACCAACTTCACATCGAATCAAGCGTTCTTCGACGGTGGTGCTATTGTATCCCCTGAGTTCGACGACGAACTCAACCTCGAAAACTCCGCCATCCTGATCAACGGGACCACGTCATTCTTCAACAATGCGTGCGGGGGGAACGGGGGTGCCGTGACTCTTCTCGGGGCGTGTGATTTGGTCGTGAACCCGGCGGCGAGCGTCCGCTTCACAGAGAACGCTGCCGCAGTCGCGGGAGGAGCCGTATTCGTGTCTGGCGCTGGTGCCGGCCCTGCGTTCGCCAACACCACCTTCACGTCCAACTCGGCCCAGGTAGGAGGTGCGGTGGCCGTGTTCGGTTCCGGAAACTCGAAAGGTGTCGCCGACATCGAGCCGCCAAACCCGACCACCTTCGAGCGGTGTTGGTTCGTCGGCAACCGGGCAACAGCGACCGGCGGGGCGATCGATAGCGCGGCCGGGCACGACTACTTTGTCGACACCACGTTCGAGGACAACGCGGCGGGGACGGGGGGGGCGTTAAGACTAGCGGGTACGGCTTCCATCAACAGTTGCTCGTTCGTGGAGAACTTCTCCGATGACGAAGGAGGGGCAGCCGTATCCAACATCGGCACGGTTGAAAGCACGGAAAACATCAGTTTCAGCGCGAACGGGTTCGACTGCCCCTCGGGAACATTCCTGGGTTATAACGCGGTGAGCAGCCTGCTACCCGATCAGTAGATGTGTTCGTCTCCCGTTATCTGCCCGATTCTTTGAGTACTGTAGTTCGCCTCTTGAACAACCGGCCTCCAGTAGCTTTGTACCTAAATATTCTGGGCTCTAACTGAGTTGAGAGCCGTTCTCTAACTGAGTTGAGAGCCGTTCTGCATGGGTTCTGGTCAAACTTCCACCGTACATGAATACCCTCGAGTCTCTAGTTGTCATGTGCGTTAAGCTCAAACACCTCTCGTAGGACGCCTTTCCGCACCACCACGATCGGTTTCTGGTGTTCGAATCGTGTCTGCTTTGATGGGTGGGTGACACCCAGATTGCGGGTGTCGGTATCGTACCAAAAAGCTGTGAGCCAGCTCGACCAACCACATTCAAAAGCAGCCTAGCACCGTGTCGCACGACGCAACATGGCAAAACGGAAGCTGGCAGCCTTGCCGTAACCTCGGTCAGTTCGTGGTTTCCCGAAAGGTGCCATTTAATCCCCGGTAACGTTCAACGCGAATCTCAAACATCCGGCGTTCGGATTTCTCGCATGCTGCACCGGTTGTTTCCAGTCGGCAGATCTCTTCGAGGCCGTCTGCAACGGATGCCAGACTGCGTGCGTTGGATGCGCCTTCGCCGACCCTCTCCTGGTTCCGACATGTACGGACCTCCTCGAGCATTCCACAAGCTCCGATGGGAGAGACACCCTTGAGACACTATCGATCCAGGCCGGGTATTGGCGTGCCACCACGTCTGGCACAGAAGTTCTCGCCTGCTACCACGCCGACGCCTGTCTTGGAGGGGTCACTGGAACATCTGGCTACTGCCTGGAGGGCTACGAAGGGCCATGTGAGAGGCAGAAACACGTAAATTGAATGGCTTGGTCACCTCGCCGACGAATAAGCAACATCAGTGTGTGTGTCGTCCCCTTCGTTCTGGACGCCAGTTTTTACACCTTTCGGTACGTTCCAGGACGCATCAGACCGGGGTTGCACAGGAGTCCACACAACAGCTCTTTGAGCCTTCATCTTCTTTTTACGTTGCAAGCCAACACTGATAGCGAGAAGGATTCTACCTTTCCATTCCCTCGTCGAGGATGAAGTCGAACTTGAACTGGTTGCGTGTACAAGAATTAAGTACAATTGTAAGGCAAATTCCAGTGCTCGCGACTGAGTCTGGTATTGAACTCACGTCCCAAACGCCACAAGTTGAGGTAGGCTAGTTATTTCTCAGTGCAGGACAGTACGTACGCGTTTTCATGAAGGCGTACAATCCCAACCTGCGGCTCGTCCGCGCCCCGAGCGCTCTGTAGGTTATGGTTCAAGCATACTCAAGAGCTGTGAGCATTTTGTTCGGCCCATTGCTTGTTTAAAACGACTACGCCACCCTTATCGCACGGTGATGCGTCCAAAGCAGAATGCGGCTAACCTTCAAGTAACCAATGGCACATCTTTTTGAATGCTTCAACGAATCTCACTTGGACACTTTCGTGTGCTCACAAGCTGTCCGGTATAGTCCGAGGGTGGTGGACACCGTGTCCCTGATTCCACCATTAACACTACCAAGCGGACGCGCGGTTTGTGCCATCTCTCGTGTCACTTTCCAAACAGATTGTGCCATTTGCAGTGAGGGGTACTCGGCACAGATGAGCTTCACCTGCCGTACCTGCTCCGACAATGCCGGAGGTATCGCGCTCGCGGCTGCTCTTGCCGTAGTGGGCCTCGTCCTCCTCGTCGCTGTTGTATCGTACGTGTCTTCTGGGGAGAGGAATGGAAAGGGAAGAGGGATTGTCGAGCGCGTGGGGCGGTACATCCCACTCCAATCCGTGAAGATCGTCGTTGTGGCCTGGCAGATCATGACGCAGGTGAGGGTGCGCTTCAGGTCGGTCGGCTTTCGCGATGAGGATTGATTGACGTTGTGCAACCGGGGAATTGCCGTCCTTAGGTTGGGCTTTGCAGCCAGAACGCTCCCCCCCCGCACGAAGAGAAAATGCCCCGTCCCCCCGGTTCAGTTCTGCACCACCAATTCATTTCTGCACCTGCCGTGCTTGAACTGCCCAGTTCACCAACGTGGCGAACGTCACGTACCCACACGTGTACCAAAACTTCCTGAACGGCCTGGAAGTGTTCAACTTCGACCTCAGCTGGATGCTCTCTGCCGGCTGCGTTGTCGACGTCGACTTCCACGACCGACTGCTAATGGCCACCATTGGCCCGATATTCGCGGCGCTTCTCCTGGTTTGCACCTACGCCGCCGCCGTTCGCATCCACCGCGGAGCTACCGAGACCCTGGAAAACGTGCGGCACAAGCATGTGTTCATGGTGCTGCTGCTGACGTTCTTCGTCTACTCGAGTGTAAGCGCTACGCTGTTCAGGACTTTCGCGTGCGAGACACTAGAGGACGGCAAGACGTACCTGCTTGCGGACTACCGCATCGAGTGCGACTCCTCCAAGCACAAGCGTTTCGAGGTGTACGCAGGCTTCATGGTATTGCTGTACACGGCCGGCATCCCTGCCCTCTACAGCTTCCTCCTTTTCAGAGACCGCGACGTGCTGAAGGGGAGAGAGGCGGCCGGTCAAGACCTACGTTCTCGCGCCACATCCACCTCCGACCTGTGGAAGCCATACAAGCCGTCCGTGTTCTACTACGAGGTGGTCGAGTGCGCGCGACGTGTTCTGCTGGCTGGGGTGGTCGTGTTCATCTACCCGAACTCTTCGGCTCAGATCGCGATAACGCTAATAGTCGCGTTCACCTTCGTGCTGATCTCGGAGGGCTTGGCCCCGTACGCGTCCAGGTGGGACACGTGGATCAACCGCATGGGGCACGTGGTCGTTGTCGCGTCGATGTACCTCGCGCTCTTGCTGAAGGTGGACGTGTCGAAGGAGCGGTCGAGTAGCCAGGGGGTGTTCGAGGCTGTCCTTGTCGTCGCCCACGTGGTTATGGTGGTTGTGGTGGTGGCGGAGACGCTCGTGCTGGCGCTGGCCCTGCGAGCGGAACGTCGCAGAGACCAACATCTGCAAGAAGACCGGTTGCCAAGGTTCCGCAGCAGCGGCAAGGTGATAAGCCGAAGCCCGGGCGAGCAAGAAGTGGCACACTGGGAACAGGAAAACCCTTTCGCAGACCACGTACACACCAGGAGAGAGGACAACCCTACACTCATTGGGTGATGGGAAGGAGGAAGGAGGTTGGGGGAGAGGGAGTAGGACGAGACCGACAGTCACTGCGATCCGTGCGGTTTTTCGATTGAGTCCGAGGTTGAGCAGAAGAAGAACCGGACGAGTATGAGGGAGGCAACAGATCGAAAACAACATCGGAAAGGGACTGGAGGAAAGTGGTAAAGACGAGGGAAAAGCACATCAAGGAAAGGTTCCTCTAGGAACAGATTTTCCACCTCGCTGTGCATCGCAACGCCGCAAGCACACGAACGACCAACGTCGGGCTGGCGAGTGGTATTTTGGCCCGTTCTGGCGATCATCAAACAGGCAAAGGCAATGCAGACACATAAGTGGAACGCCGGGACCATGCCAGAGCCGGACAACAGCCGGTCAGGTGCCCCGGAACGTCGGGGAGTTAGCTACACGGGCACGAGCTGACCTTGTAGAAAAGTGAGGTTTGATCCGAGGAAGATCGTTCATTTGTTTGGAGTATTGTAGTCTAGAGCGCCAACAATTTCTTCAGTAGGTTTGACTTTAGTTCTAAATATGACTAAAACCGTAACTGACCCCGGCTGCGTCCAACTTTACCGGCACTTTGTAGTGGGGTTCAAGGAAGGCGACTGTACCTTCGTGTGATAGCTGTCAGCTACATATAGTATTCCCGTTCATGGGTCCGTGCACGTAAGAGTTTGTCCAAACTTTCATCAGCACCAAGGCCCCTTGCCTCGGTTTCCCAATTTTTCGGAAGACACCGGCAACTGCCCTGTCTCATGCCCTGTCTCCTCCATGCCCAGCTCGCTGTGGATAGTATTTTAGGTTCCACGTTTTCCTATATCGTTTTTAACCGAGAAAAACGGTTGAAAATCTTATTCTCTTTACGCGGTTGTAACATTTGTTTGTTGATTTCGAATGTCTCAACGGATTTGGGCACATGTCGGAATACGATGATATTGAAGGATGACATTGATTCGAGATATCGGCAAAAATCGCTATCTTGGCCGCTTGTTTCCTTGTAACTACGAAACGATGAGTACGACTTCAGAGTAGAACCGGTTGCATTTCCTCTCGTCAGTCCCTGTCGGCATACGTACTTTTTGTTTTGTTTTTCCCAAGAAAAAATCCTACGTTCCACGTTCTGAGGTTCAGTCTAAATCTCAGATTGCTTAATTTCTTCCAGCCTTGATTTACTGCGGATCATTCAAGGACTCCATTATTGCAGCGTGTGTAATTGTTTGTGGAAGAACCTCTTTGTCGTGGGAATCAAGGCCGGCCCAGTATTAGTTGCAGTTGAGAGGTAGTTAAGATTAGGTTATTTATACATTCTGTAGCACAAACTTCTTTTGCCCGACCAAAGGGGGAATCAATAGCATGGCTGGAAAGTTGATTGCTCGAACTTCTTTTCGGGCCGGCTTGAAACTGGGCATCATTTGCAAATGGGTGTGAATTGTTTGTGCTCAACCTCTGTGCCCGGGTTGAAGTAAGCGTAAAATCATTAGCTATGTATGCAAGCTGGCTGGAATCCCGTCTGACTCAGATTCGTTCAAAGTTTTTGCTCGACAACAAATAGTTGGACAAGTTGTTTAGCGCGGACTACACGCGCGTGCAGCGAAATGGAATGCGCGGTCTTTGAGCAGGCCATGTCGTCCTGCGGTGAAATTTGGAAGATTGCCGTTTTTGGGCCTTTTTAGGGCGATGGTTGTCGTGCTTCGTGATGACCGTTCTGTTCTTTACATTGGTAGACACACAGCTATTCCAGCTTCAATTTGGTGGAGGATAGGCAACGTAAGGTACAAATTCATCGAGATCGGAGCAATGTGGTGCCGGATGCACCTGCTGCATGCTCGTGTTTCGTGCTTGACAAGGCCGGCAACCGACACAGCCAAACGTTAACGCAGGAGGCGCCAAACAAGCTGAAAATTGCTAACGGTGTCTAGAGTAGTGCAGGACGGCCGATGGTCTAATTCCTCGTGCCTCGTGCGTTCGGGAAAAAAAAGTGCATGGTTCAGAGCTTCGAAAACATGATCGATCGTTCATTCACATTTATTTTTACCGTTCTGCGAGACCTCTAGCGACCGTAACGGTCTTGTAGAGGAATGGGACGGTGATGGTGGTAAGGCAATGAGTTTCTTCACAGCGCGAATCCGGCGCCTGCTAATTCGGCCGCTGCTCGCGAGATATTTCCACGCACGCTATAATCATCATCCCCCTCAATTTGTTTCTAGATGCCTATCTTTTTCCAATCCGTTTAGGGTTGGTTTCAGCTAGAGCAAAAAAGATACATGTATATGATTTCGAGGCATCGGTTTTTGACTGCGATATTTTGACCGCGGCCGATTTCTCTCGGCTCGTGAAAGCTACGAGCACGAGATCGCGGCGGTACCTTCGCGCGACCTACGCCTCGAGGGCCCTGTAGAAGAAATTTCAATCGAAGCGACACCGGCGCCAAACGCAAGCATTTTGTCTTTCTCAGCATTCCTGTAACGCCTTTAGTGTGTGTGTGTACCGTTTCGTTGTTCCTTTCCGCAGCTGAAGTCTCTGACCTCAACAACGCCACAACAACGCCACGATGACGAGGTTCGCGGTCGGCCTGCACACATCCCAGTCCTCGCCAGCACGCCGAGCGTTTCACCTCGCGTCGAACGCAGCGCAGCAAAAAAGTACAAATACCCCTCAAGTCAGAGGCGCCGGGGCGCCTCCTGGGCAACCCCGTGCTTTTTTTGCCACGGCATACTCTACCACCGAGCAAGATACAGCCCTATTCTAGACACGGTTCGATGCGCTATTATAGGACAAAATAGGCGTGCTGCGAAAGTCTCGGCAAAGACGGTGGCGAGTCGAGCGAACAAGGCAACGAAAACCGTTTCGGCTGGTTTGCGGGCCCATTTGCTACACAGTCGAGCACACGAAATTTCTGCCGCGTCGACAACTCCACATCCTGCTCATGAACGACCACGAAACTCGGACAGCCACTGTCCACACAACTGTCTGCCAAGTTTCAACGCCGTTCGACCTGTACGCCGCCCGCCACAGCATTTTGCCATCCCTTGGCTGACCTCGGCTGGCAAAAAACAATCATAACGCAAGAATTCGCAATTTCTCAATACACACTACCCCCCTCGACGCAAATCTTACATCGACGTGGAGCTAGAACTGCACTGTGTTCGATGTCCATGTCTTTGGTGCATCTTCCTCATCGGATCACGACAAAGAAGCAAAGTTTGTGCAAGGTGGAGACGCAGATGCAACGCATGGAACAAGGGGGTGTAAATATCCGGTCACGCGCCCCCATCCAGCGGCTGTCGCTTGGGTTGCATGTTACCCCTGCTGTGCAACTCGTTCCCAAAACGCTGAACTGGCCTTTCGGCATAATTTGGCTTTCAATTGGCAAAGTAAGCAGCTCCTGAAAACGAGCATCGACAGGGCTACGTGCGCATCCCTTCACATTGGGCTGTTCACTCCTTTAGGCGACCAAACGATATGGGCCAACCCATCATCACCCGCAAACCTTGATTTTTCCACCGATCGTTGCTTTCGCCCCTGCACAGCTCTTTCGCCAAACGCTGCAACTGCCCTTGCACCCCCATTCCGGGGCCAGGTGGGAAAATAAGCAGCTCTCGAAAACGAGCATCGAAAGGCCGACCTGTGCATGCCCATATCTTTGGCTATCGACGACTGTGGCGGTTAAAACCTGTGCATCAAATGTACGTGCCAGCTGCCCTTTTTTTTTCCTCTTTTTGTAACTTTTACTTTTTGGCTTGAACCCTCGGAGAGGCGTCTCGCATGTCCATCGCGTCACCCTCCCGCAAGCAATCATCTTGTGATACAGCAATGGTCCCTGTATCTAATTCGCGCGCAGAGTTTTGGTCGAACTTCATACAGCTCTAGCGTACCTGTGTGTGTCACACTCTCTGTTGTTGCGTGTCGGGGGTAGTCTCCAACTCTGTTCTCAAGTAATTGTATGCATACTGTAGTAGCACGCCAGAGCTTTTTCTGGTCTCTTTTGCTCTCTCCGTCGTTGATGAACCCAAAATTTCAAATTCAAATCCATGGCACCTGGTACACAGCAGGACCAGTTTCTACATACACGATGACCGCTGTAGTTGGTGCTGATGCATGCACTAGACTAGCGGTGGTCTTCCTTGCATTTTGCGATATCCAACAGGACGACTCGGGCCCACAGCAGCAGAGTCGTATATAGATACTGCTGTAGTCTTGCATACATGATGTGCACGTCTTTGCACTGCACACACCTTGTCCAAGGAGCATATATAATGCGTCTCTAGCCAGCCTCCATACATGTGGGGCACATGTGGGGCACAGGGAAACGAGACGCTCACTACACGTATGTAGATCGACTTACATCAGCGGCATCAGCAGCACAGCAAGCAGCACGCCTACAACGACTGTGTACGTACTACTACAGGCGAAAAAAACCAACGCTGCCGAAAAGTAGTCAAGTGGGTGCAATGGGTGTGCAAAGTGTTGGTTGAAGAAGCAAGCACGATGATGACCGACCATCACCACTTTTTTAGAGTCTCGGCGAATGCCGTTCGGTAAAACAAAAGGCCTCGGCGAAAAAGCCACGCGCCGACTAATCGCGCAACGCAAGTACAATCGTGCCGTTTGATTTCGAGAACGCTTCGTTCGTCGTAACCAACCGCGCACGCACGCACGCACGCTCGCACGTTCAAAGGACAGCGGACCTCGGACTGGAGGCAGCTCTGCGTGAGCAGAGCAACATATTTTCAAAACATGGGCAAATCGCGGCACAAATTTCCGGCACCATAACGCCGCCAACTGTTGCACAACTGTTGTGCAAGGACCCAAGGTAAGGGGAAAAGACTGCCACTCACGGCACTTCGTCTTTCCAAAAAATAAGGCAAACTTCCCTGAGCGAACGCTAACCAACGGCATTCAAACACCAGTCGCTTTGTTGTCGTCAAGGAAGCGACTCACAGATAACAAAAGTTTGTTGTCCAAGACCGAAAAAACTGTAGGTTATTGTGCACGGAAGAAGTCGGAACATCTCCCAGATCCACGTACGTATTTGGGTTATTGTTGTGCCGGACTTGAGGCGTGTTGGTTCGGATGTCTTGGTTCGTTTTTCTGGGGTCCCACAAAGAGGTCTCACGGAGTTCTCATTCTGCTGCCTCGCTGCTCGCAGCAAGAGTTTGACAGACGCGTGTCCACTGGACCCAAGGGCCACGTGGTGAGGAAGACACGGTGTGTATGTAACATGCAGCCCGCTGTGGAGGACCACGTGGCAGAGAGGAGCAGCTAGCTACATCGAAGTTCGGACGATAGCTAGCAATCACGTAGTTTTTCTCCCGCCCACCCACCCCCTTTCTTTCGAAGGTGGGGGGTAGGAGAGACGTATTTTCTGCAACCCTAAGCTATCTAGGATGGGGTGTTTTCTGAATGGTAGTGCGAACAATTTG